AATCACTTTTAAAACCTACAAATCAAATTCTCTAAAGACTTTTTTATATTGAATTAACTACAACTAGAAAGTGAATTTGAAATTAATCTTTATACCTAACAAAGGAAGGGGCACAAAAAGTATGAAGAAACTCTAAAAAGAGAAAAGGTTTTGTATCTGAAGAAATACATTACTTAAAGCCATACATTGCACTCTGTTTCTTGAATTTTTAAGTGCTCTGCAAAATTACATCCCAACTGAATTTTTCCACTACAAATTTTCCTTTCTTGGTTGTGTCATCTTCCTACTTAATCAGCTCTATTCCTTCTACCATCTTTTAGAATTCACTTCTTTTCTTCACACAGGATATCACTGATTCCTTCCAAATACATAGCAAAACTCTGTGACTTGCACATGCCTTTTATTTCCCATCTCTGTCTTCTCTGTCCACTCACACAGATAATTGATTTGTCCACTCTCTCACCATTTCAAATGACAGATACTGCAGTGCTTTTCTCCAGCCCTGGCAATTAACCCCCTCCAGGATACAAGAGAAGAGATAAGTTTCATAGCGTTTCTATTTGACTATCTCATCTTCCTCCACACATCAGTAAAAAGTTACACTCTTTTACACAGTTGTACATAATTCATCCTTATTTCTTAGTATCCTAGCACTTGCTCCTTATATTTATCGTCTCTCATTCAAGGTTGAAAGATCAACTCCTGATCATCAAACTTGTCCCTCACCCACTCAATATATTTTTAGCAAGCACCCCATGTTTTGTCCTCATTGTCTTGAATGCTTGAAAACAGCTCTCCAGAAGCATTCACAAAGATACCTTATTTTCTCTCCTCAAATTGCCCCTTAGCATTCATTCTCTGTAGTCATGATGCCCCAAATACTGTGTTGTACCTCTCTCTGTCACGTGGAACATCTCTTTGTTCTTCTGTGCTTCCCTCTCTGGACTCGTATGTTATTTCATGATTTAGACTCTGTGTGCTTAGAACAGAAGTTGTATTTTTCTATTGTATTTCAACATTGAAATCCTGCTCTGTGACTACATTTGCTGTGTATCCACATGGTGAAATAAAATTATTGTGACTATCCAAATTAATGCTTAGGATTGATATTTAAAAAAAATATTAAGAAAGGATAAAATTTAGAGCGGCCTTATACAGGTTACCTTCAATAAAAATTATTAATGATCAAAGATTGTATCTAAGAAGCCTTTATTTTTGACTCAGATTATCAAGGAGATGGAGGAAGAAAAAAAGTCAGTGAACTCTGCATAATAAATACTCAACAGCAAAGCTGGAACCACCCTTTGTTTGCTAACATGTACTGCAGAGAAAGAACACAATTATGATTTCCCTCTAGGTCAAGCAGATGCCAAAGTTTGTTTTACAAGGCTTAATTAAGGCAAAATCTGATGCTGCAACTATTTCTGCCAAAAAAAGGTTAATTGATTTAATGTATTCCAGTGTTCCAAAAGCTAATGCCTTATATCGTGCCAAGGTACTCTTGGAAATAGGCATGGAATGCATTAGTGATGGATGTCCGTGTTTACAGTCATTTCAACCCCCCCATGATGTCAGCAGATTGAAGACCTTAGTGTGACTATTACCATCACTCATAAAGTATATAAACACAGTAACATCAAGAGGTATGAGGCATTTTTAACAAGGTAATTTTTGATGATGCCACCATTGTGAGCAGCCCCTGCATTTCAGAATTCCAAGAGGAAAGGTTACTGCTGTCCAACTACAGATGAACCTCTGAAGTAAAAGTATGTCTTGAAAATTCCCATCTTCAATACAGCTTTCCTTGGTGCCCAAGATCTCAAGATCTACATGATAATTTACTACTATTCTACCAAGGAAAAATTGGCTGCCTTTGTTCTGCTGGGTCTCTCAAATGCCTATTGATATGTTTAATTGATATGTTTGGTTAGTTTTAATATTTATGGTGTGTCTGAAAACATTCTTTTTTGGAAGCTGAATTCACTGCCTTATCTTATAAATTGCCAGGTATGTGTTATTTTAAAAATTGCCAGACAAATGAGCAGAAAGCACTGAATTTTCAAGAATGTCGACAATTGATCCTGCCTTCAGGCTTGTCCATTGAATACACAAGCAATAATATTTCAATATGTTAATGAGACACAAGTATGTGTGTATATAAATGTGTGTACATACCTATATCTGCCCCTATCCAGGAATCAATCTGGCTTTTCTGTTTGGTTCTTACCCTAGAAAAATGTTCAGAAAATCCTAAAAAATGAGCACTGACTCTACCATGGGAAAGGAAGGTGAATATAAACTTTTTTTTTGTTCACAACTTGCATACTAGAAGTGGTCAATAATATTAGAGACTGATTTCCATAAAGGGAGCCAAAATCTAACACAAACAAAAGTCACTACACAATGGTCACTTAATAACATCTTGTTTCTTTACAGAGTAGAGACTCCTGACTTGTGTCACTTCTTCCTGAAGGCAGAGAGTAGCTAGAAATCAGAACAAGCTAGCACAGGAAACAAGGAGCTGTTTCTCATAAAGGACTTTACTTTCTATGGGGGTCAGCATATTGGCTAAAGACCAGCTTGAGTGAAATCTAGAAACCAGGAACAGAGTCATGCTTTTGAAAGGCAGACCTTTCAGATCCATTAGACCAGGAAATTAATGGGAAATGGAAGAGAAAAAGGTCTTTAAATAATCCTTTCACACACTACCATACAGCAGTCCCTGGAACACATATGCCAAGGCACTCTTAAATTAAGACAGCTGTTTCTAAACAGTTTTTGCTAAAATCTGAAGTGCATGAACATGAGTGAAGGAAGGATGGCACAATATGTAAAGGCAGTAGTATGGCTATATTAGTTCATATCACCAAGACTATACACTAGGATTTTGATTCTCTTTGTATCCCCTTTGTTTTGAGTATGTTATGTGAGCATATACAAGCATATACACGTATAAGTTTGTAGCAAAGAAAGAAAATGGATTTCCATAGATTGCTCTGGGATAACCTTAATGTATATGAGCACAATTTTACAGGCATAAGTTATTTAGAGGTAGTGCAGAATTGTCAGGCTAAAAGAAAACTTATTTTTTCTGAGATTTTCTGCCATTCTTGTGTGACTGAGAATGGGTTCAAGAATATTAATCAAATCTGAAACTAATTTTTTCTAATGAACAAAGAGTATTGTTGTATTTCTCTCAATGTGACATACATGGATTTTGCAATACAAAATGTCAAACATTTACATTGTTTTAAGGATTTGTGTCAAAACGTATAATTCTAGACTGTTATCTGATAAAACCAGAGTCAATTGTGCTGCAATGTTTCTGAATACAACATAGCAGCTGAAGTGCATGACCCTTCCACAATACAGCAATTCTTTACAGTTATTCATATGGAACAAAAAAAATATTTTTGATGATTTTGATATTGCTGAGTTTTCACTCAACAAAACATTTTTCCATGAAATAATAATTCAAGTAGGAAATATAACAATGCTTGCAATTTTACTGTTTATTACAGTCAAACCCAAACTTTAGCCTAAACTAATTTAAAAAATAATATGCTGCAGTTGTATGCATATTAATGAGTCAAGTTGGTGTGCTGCTTCACTTGGTATGCAGAACAAGTTCATTGAAGCTGAGAATGAAACTTGATTAAATATGAAAGCATGATGACTGAAAGCAAAAACAAACAAAAAAAGAGCTGTAGAGAGCATAGGCAATAAGCAAGCAAAGGGAATATAAAGGGAAGACAAGTAGGGTACTCATACAGGAGAAAGAATCGATCTATATAAACGGAAATACATTTTACCTGTCATCCTCCTTCCCTTCCTCAGCTTGGTCTTCTTGAGCTTTTTCATCATGCCCTGATTCTTTGATTTCCTCCTTATCACAGTTCTCTGTCACCTCTTGCCCTTCCCCTTTTTCATTAATTTCTTGCTCTTTTGCTTTTTCCTCCTCCTCCTCTTTTTCTTCCTCCTCAGGAAATACTTCATCTTGTTCATCCCCTTCCACCCCTCCCTCTTTTTTCCCCTCTATATCTCTTGTCCTTCTCAAGTCAACAAAAATTGGAAAAGGCATGCAAAAAGAAAAAAGAAAATAATAAATTAAAGTTAAGGTCATGGAGAAGAACATGCATGAAGAAAAGAAGTGCAAAAGAAATGAAATAAAAACTAAAGGATAGAAGCAGACATAATGAAAGTCATGCTGGCTAGGAGTCCAGCCTACACTACAGAGCCTTGGAACATTTTCGTAGTAAGTCCCTATTCAAATAAAACTTTCATGGCAATACCTCACATTTAGAAAGAAATGTATGACAGAAACAATGTTGTCCTAGCAATGTTCATATAAGCAGATGTTTAACTTCTGAAAATGCTTTCTTTTAAGAGGATAATTATTTGAGAATTACTATAGCTGATGGAGGTGGGTTACACCTTCTAGAAAAATTATCTTTCATTTGTGCACCAAATGAAAGCCAAAGCTCCTCTGACTGCACACAGGGTGCAGGTAAAGAAAATGCAGCGTTTTGGTCATAGATACACAATGTACAACTTGTTGAAGAGCAGCTCAATGATTGTACACCTACAGTTAAATTGGACTAGTGTAAGTATTAAATAAATTGAATTGATCTATGTTAAAAATAAATCATCTATAAAAGTTCAGCATTCTATTTAAAAGAACAATCAGATGCCTTTGCTGGCATAAATTTCCAAGTTAAACTGTCTTTTCAGCCATATTAAGTATATTTTACAAAATGGTTGTCATAAAGTGTGTCCCCAATGCTTGCTGACAGCATGTTTGTTATTTCAGTGAATGTTAGGTAATCCAAGATGACAAAACTTGGCTAAAAACAAATTCCATGAAGACTTCAAAAAGCATTAGATAAAAAAGACATTTATGCCATTCTAGGCAAAATGCTAATGTCAAATAGAAATGTTGGTAAGGGTTCCATTACTAAAATCACACAGCTACAGCTGACACTGTAGTTCATCATGCTCACCTTATTTTCTTGTTTCCCCTCGGACGCTCTGACTGGACAGACATGTAGCTGGTGCTGCTGAAACGGGAAGCGCTGCTGGTGCGGGACACGGCCGAGACATCGCTGACATCGCTGTCCGAGGACTTATTGGAAACATTGTCCGAGCCTCGGTGAGGGTCCCGCCCTGACCGATACTGCAAGAGGAAAGGGACAAAGATATTGTGTTGTGACATGCTACCACATATCAGCTATGGACCTGGTCCCTCCTGCCATCTAAACTGCTTTTGTCACCGCACTGCCTGAACTTTTAAAATGAAGTTTTTCCCTGATACAGAATAGAAGTTATGTCTTGGTTTCTATTATTTCTATTTTACTCTGCTTTTCTATCCCAGTTAACTTAGCTCTGCAGTTTCAACTTGTACACAATTTCCAGCATGTCCAAAAGTTTCACAAAGCTTAGAAAAGACATCTAAATCCTCATAGAATATTCTTACCACAACTGTTTCACCAGTACAGAAAGAAAAGCAGAGAGATTAGTGACTTGCCTGATTACTGAGCTCATGAAAGATTAAACAGGAGACAGAATGTGCTGCATGCTATCTATAAAGTATATGTCTCTTTTGGGGCCTTGCCTGTTTACAAGAACTTCTAACTGACAAATGTTAATTTTTTCCCCCATGTAAACAGATAGATAAGATTATCAAATCAAAAGACAAAGCAATGTTGCAGCTGTGCAAACAAACCTGCATCTTGCTGAACTGCTGGCCTGGAAGTCTGAAAAGATGGGTCTGGACTAGAGGTAATTTGTAGGGAAAATGTGCATGTGCCTCAGAAACTAAAAGATTACAAAGGTATTTGAGCTTGTTAGCGGTAATATCAAACATGGCTGGTGATCAGCAGTAAGGCTATATGACATGGACAGTATCATGCAGCAGTAGTCAGGTTAGATCTGAACAAAATACGATGGCTATTTGTTTTTGTTACAAATTAGCACTAAATTCATGTTAAATCTGTGCCACTCTGCATGGCACTGTATGCAAATATAATAAATAGCAGAAAGATATTTTTCCTTCTCTTCATATACAGGCATTTCTCTGTATACAGAAATCTGATGGGCTGCTACAGGTAATCTTTTCAGGAAAATAGTACTTCAAGGTGAATTGTCAATGATCACCAGGTGATTGTTTGGAAATGAGATGGTACAGAATGATACAAAGAGCAGCACAGACAGGACTAAAAGGAAACAGTGGGAAAAATAATCGGCCTAACACATCAGTGGCTTGTTGAGCTCTTGGGGATAGCAACATTGTACTCAGCCACGTGAAGAAAATAATTCATCACGTAAAATGGCAGACCTGTGTAGCACTGCAGAAGAGAAGAGTGTCCAGGTTTAGCCATTAAATTGGTCCCTTTTTTATAGTTTTAGAATAACTGTTTTTCATGAACTATATAGATAATTTCTTTCTGTTCTCTTACAAGGAAAGTTACACTGAGAAATATTCTGAAATACTGTGCAGTATCTAAATGGGATTTCAGATTTATATAAATAAGATTTCAAAAAAGCATTTCAGTGCCTTTCCTCAGAAAGTATTTTATACTTAGAAATCGTAAGTTATTTTGCTCATTTTAAAACGGAAATTAACAAGAAAAAATGCTCATGCAAGTTAGACCACACATCTGCTGCAGAGAGTGACCAATCATAGCCATAAGTCCACAGTTACAAAAATGGTTGCACATTCTACACCAATCTTTATCATTCTTCCTGATCTGTTCTAATTTACATACTTGTGTCCATCAACAACCATTCAAGTGCCTCCCAGCCTTTAAATGTGAAAGTGAACTTAGACACCCAAAAACTCAGAGTACCTCTGTGATAATAATGTTCAAAAGTTTTAAATATTTACTGACTGGTTCTATTGATGCCATTAATGTTTTTGCTTGATGAAGAAGACAGTGCATATTATTACTTATATATCCAATTGGGAATGTAAAATCAATGATTAAACAGCTGTCCTGATCATCAGCGATAATGGAACATTATACCAGAATAAAAGGAGTGTCCTTTTCAGAAACTCCTTTTAAAAGAGCAACTACTTAGTTTTTACCTTCAACAAATAAAAAATAATTATGCCTAGAAAAATGTGTATATTTTGTAAAAAAACCCAACCTTATTGTGTTTGATTTTTTTTTAGTCAATGCAATTGACTAAAATTGTAATAATCTAGTGATATATACTGAAGACTGAGAATTGTTTGGGCAAGAAAAGCAACTTAAAAGTAAATAATTTTAGAAACATAATGTGAAAAAATAATCTAAATATATAAAATCATTATCTTGTCTCTTTTTTCTCAGTAGTACATAAACATATTTCCCATCAAATGCTTTTTGTTGGGACAGATGTCACTGAAATATTATTTGACTGTTACAGCTTCAGGATGTTTTAAGATTAAAATTGGGAAAGTTAATTGATCCTTTCATTAAATCTGAGTGTCTTAATATACAATATTTTTTAAAGGTTTTGTTTATACCTTGTCTGAGTTACAGTGCCAGCATCTGCTAGCTGCCTACCAAGGAAACATCTAGTATATAAAATTAAATTGTCTTTCTTGCTGGACAAAGTTCAGACACCTCATATTCACCCATTAACTGCTCCTAATTACCCTTTATTCTGCTGCTGAGGTGTACTTTTAACCTTATATCTGACTTAATTTTCTTTAGGAAATGGATTACAGTAGTGTATTGCACATTAGTGTTCCCGTAACCAGCACAGAAGAGCAAAGGAACATTATTTCTTGTCTGACAGAAGCCATGTGGCACTTTAGTTTTGCATTTGTTTCTTAAACTGCAATTCTATACAAGGCAGCTTTTGAAGTGCTCCTTTGCTGTCTGCCTCAAGAGTAAAATGGCATTTCCATTGTGCAAATATTGATTTTTTCAAAAGTATTTGTTTCTTCCATGTCATATACTCCAACTGTAAAACGCAACCATTTTTTCAGTTTTGTGCTATTGTTTTTTCAGTTATTGTGTGGTTAAAGTTGTCCCAAAGCATCCCATCTTCATATATTTCACATCCTTCCTTCCTTTCTTCCTCCAAATTTCACTTTCTTTTTTTCTAAATGTCACCCACTGTATGACAAGACCAACTATTGAACTGAAAAAGTAAGTTTTAACTAAGCACTGTTCCCCCATTATATCTGAAAAACAGATACCATTTCCCATCCCTCTCCAGTGCTATCCCTACATCCTGTGCTGTAGGATTTGCACCATCTGACTGCACATTGACAGGGAACTGCAGCCCCCATGGCTGGATCAGCACGGCCACTGAGTTACATCATCAGCTCCTGCAACTGCCCTGGGCGCTCCAATATCCCTCAGCAGAAAACATGAGTACAAGGCCACTAAAGAGCATCACAGCTCCTCTGGGCTGAACAATTAGGTGTCCAGGGTGTGGTGAAATGTACCTGCACACTATAAAGATCAACTAAAAGGTTCCTTTTAGATTCTATTTTTTTTTCTTTTTTAAATACCAGCCATGACAGTAGGAAAATTCTCTCCTGACTTTCCCCAGGCTGGAAATACAGGCCTCTTTTGTTGGAACACGACTAAATTCTCATTTCCACCCCAATAAAGACTCATATAATAAAGGCAACATTCTGGACTTTATGACCCATTAAGCAGTCAACCCAAGCTCTTCAAGCTGTTTTAAAAATGGGAAGTCTGCTGAAAGCAGAGAGATTGATTAAAAGTTGTTTTTGTAATTTTAAGAGTAAGATGGTTTTGTCCTGTTTTGCAGTGTTGAAGAATGAGAATAATTTCATTATTACAGTTTCTATCAAACAAGTATTCCAAAATTTCTAAAAGCATTTTTATCTGTGTTAGTAGAATAATCAGCTGGAGAGCCTAACAAAAGGACAGTTAAGGGTTAGTGCCTATGCCTTTTAACTTCAAGAGATTACTGGCCTTTAGTGACAAATTTGTGATTATTAAAGCTGAAAAAAACCCAACCTACTCTGTTTCCTAGTACAACAACGTCTGCAAAAGTTTTGACCTCTTTGTGAACCACCAGTAAATAGCTGACAAGACACATAGAGCTGCAACTCATCTGACATTGATGCTCTTATTTCTGAAAAGAAACTGGGTGGAACTTGTAGTTCAAAAGGAGTTTTAAAGTGTTTCATGTTGCTTTACTCTATTGTTACCAGTCTTCCATCTTGGACTATTCAGTCATGCATCTGTCCAGGCAATTGACATTGTCAGTGATTTCTAAACGTCTTTCTATTTTATTATCTTTTCTTTTTTTATAGTCTACTCATCAGGTTTTATTTGCTAGCATTTACATAGGGACATACAAATCTGGTCAATGTTTTTAGTGATCAAAATGTTGGGAAGATGTTTCAGACAATTGTCTATTGTGCTACTACCAGAAGATTAAAGAACCATTCTGGACTATTTCAATAGTTCTTTGACTCACTAACAAAAGCTCTCAAGCAGCCAGAGCACAGCAGTTTGAAATGTTCTATACCTCTTGGTGTGGATTCACAACTTCTAAAGGCATTGCAAATTTTAGCTATTGCCACACATCATTTGAATGAATGTTACTGGATGGTTTGATTCCTTCTAAAACTTTTGTTCATGGCTGCCTAATGAAGTCTGCCATTAAAAATAAAGCCACTTACTAATAATTACAACAATAAGATTAGATTTATATAAAACAAAAAAAAATCAGAGGTTTTTATAAAATACCACGTACAAATGAGTACATACAATGTATGTTTATCTTTAGCTTGCATACACACAAACTCAAGATGAAGACTATGATTCATCTGCCCTTTTATATATTTTATACATAGCCAGCTCAATAATCTGTATTTACATTGTCACTCCTGTCAAGATCCATCAAAACAATCGAGGTACAGCCAGCCAGGCCTGCCTTTGCCAGTTTTGCTTTAGCTATCACATGGCACACAGCTCTCCCTCAGCAGATTAATTCTTGCACTGCTCTTGTGTTAGGTATATAATGAAATCCACAGTTGCCTTGGGCTTCTCAATATGGAGCTGCAGCCAGTCTACCTTAGACTCATTCTTGGCTGCTGATCCTGTCTTCTGCACAGTAGTCCTGGATTCTATCCTATCTTCCTCCTTTTTATTTCTAATTCCTGGATCCTCCTACATTTTTAACCCTGTAATTTTCATT